CATCACTTCGGCCCGTAGATTTACTCTCAGGGTCAAAGTAGTGAAGGGACTATGCAGTTCAATCTCCATTGTACGAACGGAATTCGATCTCCGTTGTGTACGAACGGAATTCGATCTCCATTGTATAAGCGGAACTCAATCTCCATTGTATGAACGAAATCCAATCTCCATTATATGAACGAAACTCAATCTCCATTGCATGAGCGGAATTCAATCTCCATTGTATGAACGTAATTCATTCTCCATTGTATAAACGGAACTCAATCTCCATTGTATGAACGGAATTCGATCTCCATTATATGAACGGAACTCAATCTCCACTGTATGAACGGAACTTAATCTCCATTGTATGAACGGAATTCAATCTCCATTGTATGAACGTAATTCATTCTCCATTGTACGCACGAAATGCATTCTCCAATATATATGAATGGAATTCACTATCCATTGTACGTACGAAATACAAACATCCCAATGGCCAAGGCCATCGTCATTAGTTCGACCTCGTTCGAACCACGACGCGATACTACTTCGACGACAGCCGGAGCAACATTCCAATGGCCAAGGCCATCGACATTAGTTCGACCTTGTTCGAACCACGACGAGATGCCACGACGGGATATTACTTCGACAACAATCGAAGCTACATCCCAATGGCCAAGGCCATCGACATTAGTTCGACCTCGTTCGAACCACGACGGGGCACTACTTTGACGACAGCCGAAGCAACATCCCAATGGCCAAGGCCATCGACATTAGTTCTACCTCGTTCGAGCCACGATAGGACACTACTTCGATGATAGCCGAAGCAACATCCCAATGGCCAAGGCCATCGACATTAGTTCGAGCTCGTTCGAACCACGATGGGACATTACTTCGACAATAGTCGAAAAAATATCCCAATGGCCAAGGCCATCGACATTTGTTCGAACTCGTCCGAATTACAACGACATATCGTTTAAACAAATAATCGAAACAACATCCCAACAAAGACCAAGTGTCATGCGATAAACAAAAAGGAACGACGAACAAACAGTGACGAAACTGAAGTTTATATTACAACCAAAATATTATGTACATTCGTCCCCACGAACAGGTCCCCATGTGACCCGCGTCCAAAAATTTACAAGCAAAAAAAAAATGAATGTACAAACTAAGACTACACGTTGCCCCCAGCAGGGTAGGCATCTTCATACCACGAATTTGAGTCAAGGTGGTTCACGTCATCAGAAGCAACACCCTCCCCATCGGGAGAGTCAGGGTCGTATCCATACGACTCACGAGAGCCACGCGCTTCGGTATGTACTGCCCGAACCTCCGCCTCCGTCGCTCGGCCCTCGGCATGAAAAGACCTATATACATCAAACCTAGCCTCCGCATAGACCCACAACTCGTACAAGCGACGAGGAGAGCCCTGACCGGCCGAAGGAAGAGATGTGGAAGGCCGAGAATAACGATTTGCTTCCTCTTCCCCCTGCGAAGCCATTTGCCCTCGCAAGACGGCCAACTCCGCCTCTAACTTCCTAACACGCCTTTCGAACTCTGCAACTCGATGACCGGAGGTTTCCCTTTCCCCGGCAAGTTCCGACCTGGATATACGGAGAGCATCTTCCAAGGAGACCGTCTCAGAAATGGCAGCGGCCAACTTATCCGCATTAGCATTTAATTCGCCCTTAAGTCTGTCGATCTCCATCGTTTTAGCACTCAGCTCGGCATTCAAGCCGGCTACCTTCAGCTGCAAGTCGACATTCTCCGCCGTTACCCCTCGACTCAGTTCGAGTTCGTCTTCCTTTGCCTTAAGAAGGACCTCCAGTTCGCTGTTACGAGCGATATCCCTTACGAGCTCCTCGTCCGTCTCCTTCAGCTCCTCCATCCTACGTTCCAATTGGCCCTCCCGCTGCTTAAGTCCCTCGTGAAACACTTGGAGCTCGGGATCCTGTTGATAGATGTGGAACATCGCCTGATTAGCGCAGTACTGATGGTACCTCGACGACATCTTCTTGTAGAGGCTAGTCCTTCTTCGGTCGCGGCGATCTCTTTCGACCTCCAGGACGAGGGTCTAGCAGACGAAAAGCAATTAGAAAAATACACCTTTACCGTGCCAACCATACGACATAAAGAAAAGGAAGGGGAACCAACCTGCAAGGCCATACCGGCGACCTTCCGAGATAATTCCGCGTCACTCATCGCCCCGAGCGTTTCATTTTCAGGAGCGGCACATAAAGGGGCAAGAGCCGATGCAACCTGCTCGCTATTCAGCAACAAGTTGTAACTTCCCAGAATTATCACATGACGGTCGGACCCATCCGTCATCACTTCCGCCACACGTAACTTCCCAGAATTATCACATGACGGTCGGACCCATCCGTCATCACTTCCACACGGGTGTGGCGACCAAAAACTTCATCCACGTCCTCCGGGGCAACATCAGAACCCGATCCGCCCTCCTCCACATGAACTCCTCCGACATGGGACGACGCCCCCCTTCTGCGGGATGCACTGGACTGGCTCCCAATCTAACTCTCTCCACTCGGGGTGACCTCCCCGACCTAATGGCATCAGCCATAAAAACAATCGCCGGAGCCACCCGAGATGTGCCATTTCCATCAACCCTCAGTGGCCACACCCTTTCCCAGCTCCAACCTCCTCCGTTTTCTCTCTAACGGCTCGTCACCATTAGAAAATTCGTCAACAGGACGCGGAGGCGGTGCCAACGAGGCCGCTTCTATTGTGGTCGCGGTCCTAGATCCTTCCCCCGATTGAAGGAGTAAAGGGCGACCCTCCGGACCGACTCGCTTAAGATTAACGAGTGTCCATGGTAGTAATGGGTCGCCTGAAAGCCGAGATTGGTGCCCTTCTCCTAGAAGCTCCCCGGCCTGTCGTCACAAAGAATTATACAGTTAAGCGAAGCCGTACAACCAACAAGGTAAAAAAAAAACCGTACCTGAGGAAACCTTGGGGCCATAACGTTGTACGAAAGCAGACCAAGTTCGCGTCTCCTCTGCATAGGGCAGCAGGCCAGCGACCCAGTTCCTGAGACCAATGACAGGCTGGGGAGGACGAGCCATAGCTGCAATAACAAATAACCATAAGTGTACGATGAGTGAGGAAGAAGGGGGAATTCAGTGAGATACGACACTTACGGGCATCATTCCACCGCTCTGGGAAGCCGGTGGGGTTAGAGACAACGTGCTCGATCTTGATGAAAAAGTACTTATGCCAAAATTTACGGCTTGGCCGGTTATCAGTCCCAACCACCAGCCCTTTCGTACCACGAAGTCTCAGGTGCACCATGGTCCCCCTAAGAAAACCGAGTGAAAATAAATGCAGGAGATGATGAACGGAGACGATGCACTCCGCCAATTCCGCATACTTAGCCAGCAGCAGGAGCACCTTTAGCGTGTATGGCGTAAGCTGAGCCGAACAAATATGATAAAACCTGCAGAAATCGTCTACTAGAAAAAAGAGGGGAAGGGTGTAACGAATCATAAAGGGGTATTCATAAAAGGCACAGTATCCAGGCCTGTGGACGTCGACGTAGTCTCCCTCCGCCAAAATCATCTCTACGTGGGCGGGAATACCGTATTTTATGCGGATGGCATCAAGGTGAGTCTGATCTGTCTCAAAGAGCACAGGGTTCGGAGTAAGAGGCGGATCCTTGGGGAAGTCATTCCGAGACAGGGGATGCTTCGGTAGTAGGCCTCCACTGTAAGAGGGCTGTCACCCTCTTCTGCCTCCACCTCTCCGCTGTCGGAAAGAAGGGATGCATTCGATGGAGCGGCCTCAAGAATCCCTTCGTTAACACGACGAGATCTCGGCTTGATTTTGTTTAGAGTAAACGAGCTATGAGAATGGAATGAAAGATATGAAAACTTCCGGTCAGGAATGAGAACGAAGGGAGATATGAGAGCAGAAGAAGAAGATTAGAAAATTATCAAAAATGGCCAAAGTTTTCCAAAGGAATTGAACCCTTCATCTATTTATAGGGTTGGGTGGCGCCAGAATCGAGGCGGCAGGTTTCAAATCAACGCAGGGAACCAAGCGCCGGACCGTCAGTCTGTTGCCTCGAAAAATCGCATAATGATGACGCATACGAAGGCTGACGTCATCCGGGATAACGTGCATTCTTATGTTTCCCGCCATATATGACTACCTTCCCTCACTGATCACGTCGTAATATCTCAGCGAGTCAAATTCCTCCTAAGGAAGGGCATCAAGTCCGCTCATCAAGGACGCACCCCGTTATGACCTCGACGAACGGAGGGACTAACTGTATGGGTCCGAATTTTACCGACCAAGGCCGTAGCAAATACGACCAGCAACCCAACACCTACGAGTCGGCATAGGGGTACGACCCAGAGGTGGAAAGAGAGACGCCATCATAGTAGCCATATATGACTACCGTCCCTCACTGATCACGTCGTAATATCTCAGCGAGTCAAATTCCTCATAAGGAAGGGCATCAAGTCCGCTCATCAAGGACGCACCCCGTTACGACCTCGACGAACGGAGGGACTAACTGTATGGGTTCGAATTTGACCGACCACGACCGTAGCAAATACGACAGATCCGGATCCTAGTGCTTTCGAGATGGTTTGATCGATAGCAAAGATAGGGAAAGAGCAGACTTCCAACAAGCATTAGCTCTCCCTGACCAGCAACCCAACACCTACGAGTCGGCATAGGGGCACGACCCAGAGGTGGAAAGAGAGACGCCATCATAGTAGCGTCGGATTTGGCGCAGCAGGTAGCCCCTGATTCGTCGTTTCCACGACTAAGGAAAATCTCTCTATATATAAGATAGGTTCAGAGTCTTGTAAAGGGGAGAGTTTTTGTGGAATATACAATCTTATTACCTTTCCTTTCTTGTGATCTCTCTCACTCTCTTTCTTTACCATTAAGATCCTAGAGTTTATTATCTTCGGCTGAGATTTACCCCTTCATCCGTGATTGATTTACTTAAAAGAAGAATCAAAAATCTTTTGAGTCAAAGACAGGGGTTTCATAGTTTTCCAGTCAAGTCAACTGTTGACTTGCAAGATTGCAATTTGATGTTTAATAGAAAGACAAGAACCATGTAGTTTAGCTCATGCTTGAAACTCAAAATAGTAACAGAAACTAACTAACTAGCAAGCAAGAAGTGTAGCTAACTAGTTACGATCTCTCAAATCATAACCAGTAGCACGTTCCCTCAAGCTTTCTGTATGACTATCAGTGTGCGGATAGCCTTTCCTCATCGCATCATTAGCATGATCATCAACTACAGCATCCTTGACATTCTTGGTTGTCTCCTTGGCCGCATCAAATGCCTCGTCCATGTTTTGTTTCGCCTTTTCTCCTACGTTTAGCCCCGTTTCCATTGCCTTTACTGCTCCCTCTTTTAAGCTTTCCGCCACTGAACTTGTTCGGTGGTGCGTTCCGTCTGCCGTTTCGTCCGTGCTCCGAATCTATGAATCAATCAACTACTCCACATCAAATGATATAGGTTTGACAAACCCAACTACTCATATAAATTAAAAAACCAAACTACACAACGACCCCGCAGCTTAAATATAATTCTTTTAGTAACTAAATAAAAGATGATACTACTACAAACACAATAGTTAACGGTTTGCAATTTTCGAGGTCAAAGGTCTCTGACTTGTCAAATAATCATAGTTCATATAGAGTGGAATAAGAGAGTAAGTAATATATAGGTAAGAATTCCATACCGCACGGGTAACTTTGCATCATACGTTCGTAATAATTAACGAAAAATAAATGTAAGTACATTTTGTGAAACACGTTTTAGTAGTATCAATAAAAACAATAAGGCTAGCACCCACTGATAGAAGAACAGTTTTGCAACCATATTTGTGCCAAAGATGAATAAGCTATGTAAAAGAACAATATAAACGTTATTTAAACTATTAAAAATCACTTATATAAGGTAAGTTAGCCAAAATGACTTAACTGATACGACATGTTATATCAAACTAATACTGTGTTACGCTACCCGTGTATATAATTAGTTCAATAAAAAAAATTCACATTACCTTAAAGTCATTGTTGGAAGCAGAGGTAAAGGGCGCAAGGGAGATTCCATTGTTGGAAGTACGCCGCAGCGTTTTCAAAATGGCAGCTACAACTCCTTTATTTGCCAACATTTTCCTCTTCTTTTCTTTTAAAACAAAAGCTCTATAGTGCTAGCTAAAAATTGATTTTAGGAGACATGAGTGCCTGTCCTCAAGTTTAATAAGCTTAGATGCCGAAGAGAGACGGTGACACGTTACACCTCTACTGTGCATGAACCTTATACGTGTCACACATCGCATATATCCAACAAGAAAATTATCAAATTAAACTACCGCTTTGTATCTACTATTCCACATACATTCTGGTATCTACTTAATGCTTTTAAATACCACATAAAAAAATCATAAAACTTTCACTAATTCACACAAAAATTATCATGACCGAAAAACACAACTTGCAATAGTATTTTCTTATTTCAGATTTTTTTAGTTTTTTATTTTCAGTATAATATATATATATATATATATATATATATATATATATATATATATATAGAAAATAATAGCTGAAATATGTGTGTGTATTATATACATATAATATACATATTTATATATTTTTTGGTTAGGGAATGCAAATAGTTTTGCCCGACCGATTAATTTTATATTTTTCCCTTAAAAAGAATGACCCAATGCAATCCCATATACATGAATTAAAATAATATAAAAGTAAAATCCTTCCCCCGTAAAAATATTTAGTTTGGAATGCACGAGATTCTCACAAACAAAACAAAAAAGATATAATTAGAGAGTGTTTAAAACAAAAATGCTATCAATTTGAAGGGAAATCTTGAAACGAATAATAAAAGATATAAGTATCGTGTTTTGAAGGATTCACTTTTAGTATTTGTTTAATTTATAAATGTGGCTATTGGGTCGGGTAGATCAGGTCTGGTTGGTTATTTCTATTTTAGTTAAATTATTATTTATTAGATTGAAAATAAAAAATAAAAAATCGTGAAAAAAAAAATACTGCTGAAAAGTTGTATTTTTCGGTCACTATAATTTTTTATGAGTTAGTAAAAAATTTATGATTTTTGTGTGAGAAAACATAGTTATATGACTTTGGTGAAAAACGTCATAATTATAGTAACTATTTGTGAAATTTACCCTGTTATTTAATTAAACACAAATTTAGAAAAAAGACTTTTAAAGCTTTTAATTTAAAACGCGATATAGAAATTTATATATCCCATAAATTATCTTATTAATCAAGATAAAAATTTTAAAATTAAAATTATTATTAACTATAGAAATGCATTATAATTTTTAAAACAAGCTAAAACGGAAAGTGCATCACAAAATTACGACGGAGAAACAAAATATATAATTAGTGGATTAAGTTTCTAGTATATTAGATTTCCTATTAAGATAGTGAATTTGTTACAAATGGACTGACATTGTGTATACTTATTCAAGATTTAAGCCCGATGAAACTTGAAAGTTTTAGTATGTATTCCTTCTCTACTTCATACTTTTAGTAATTATACACGCTGAAACATCGTGACTTGGTTCCTGATAATATGCTAGATTCATGTAGTTTGGCGACTATTTATGTCCCAACTTGACTATGCTTCACTGTTCTAAGATGGTTAAATGACGATTAATTGGCTATAATTGTGAATTTCATGTTTTGCAGGAGCGAGTTGCGCTTATGAGGACTTAGGACAGTGTTTGAAGCTAAATTGAAGCAAGGGAAGCCCCTCGGAGCTGAGTACTGTGAAAGAAGAGAGCAAAGAAGAGCTAAAATGATGACCCAGCTTAGCGCGGCCATTAGTGCGCCCACTAGCGCGACCGCGCTAGCCCAGGAACTCGAGACCGAATACTATGCTATATGCGCGGCCATTAGCGTGGGCACGAGCGTGGCCGCGCTAGTCCAGTTCGGATTACATAATTTCAGGGGTAAACTTGAAAGTTCGGGGGTAATTCCACTTAACCTATAAGAGGTCCAGCTCGCCCAAAGGGACATTGTCAAGGATTTTACAATTGAGTTGAAGGCAAGAAGAGGCAAGAGGCAAGGAGGATAATTCGACATCGAGTTCTACCTTTCTTCCTTTTGTATTTATCATTTATGATGAATTTTCATGCTATGATGAACACGTTTATGAGTATCTAATTATTTAGTTTAGGGTTTTGATGGAACCTATTGAAGGATGAACTTCGTGTTATGTTAATATAGTTTGCCCAGTTTAATCTCTATTTGTTCAACTACGTTCTTGTTGTAGTTAATTGATAGGATCCTCAATTAGCTGTGCCTATTTAGTATGTAACTCGGGAGAGAGTGCATATTTAGGTAATTGTTGAAAAACACCACTCCCAAAGTATATGAGGGATCAATAACTGAGGGTTTAAAGGCAGGATTAGGGATGACGAAGCCTTGGGTGTGATCTGAAGTGAGCTGTAATAAAAGCCAGCTAGCTTAACTCGGGAGAGTGCGTCTAGTAAATTGTCGTAATTACTTGAGAGAGATTTACGATAGTAAGAGTACTCATGATCGATAGAGATGATTATGCAACTCTATATGACACATAACAGGAAGGGATTCCATCAATAGAGGAAATCACAACCTTAGATCCTTCTCTTAATTGTTTACAACTCAATCATAGTTAGTTTTTAGTTTACATAATTTCGTTCAGTTATAGTTAGTAAAAATATCACTAATTGTTATTTAAAATATTTGGGAAGTTGATTACGAGGAATTTAGTGAGTCTAACAAGAGTAATTTGTAGGTTAATTCCCTGTGGATTCGACTCTGGGCTAAATACTCAGATTATATTTGCAACGACCACTTGTCCTTCTTATAAGACATAGTTGGGCGTGATCAAATTTTGGCGCCGTTGCCAGGGAATTAACGGTGTTATCAATTACAGTTGAAAGAAATACAAAAATTCTTACTGTAGTCAGTTTTCTTTATCTTCAATCTATACATTGAAATTTTAACGTTTGTTGACTTGGTTGTACAGGTGCATGCCTAGAAACTCATCGAGAACTGGTGAAGTATTTGAAGCATTATCAGATCCCGAGAAAGTTTTCAAGGCCTTGAATCGGGCCAACTCGAAAAACAGACAACAACAATCAACTGAACAACTCGAACCAGACATGGGAAATAACATGGTAGATCCGGCTGCGCAAGTAGTGGCACCTATTGTGCCAGAGGCTCCTCTATATGACTGGGCGCAACCCACAGCTGAGAATCTGGCCACAGCGATATTAGTCCCGCAGATACAGGCCGAATCTTTTCAAATCACAAACAACATGCTGCACTTGTTGCAAAACAAGGGACTATTTTCGGGGTCATACATTGAAGATCCTCAACAGCACTTGAAGAATTTCCTATCAATCTGCAAAACTCAAAGGCAACCCAACGTAACTCAAGAAGCAATAAAGCTGTTGTTGTTTCCATTCTCAGTGATAGAAGCTGCCCAGACTTGGCTAAACTCACTCCCCATTAACTCCATCACTACTTGGGAGGAGTTAGTTAAGCAATTTGCGAATAAGTTCCATCCACCCAACAAGACTGCACAGCAAATTGATGAAATTTTGAGCTTCAAACAGAAACCAATGGAAACACTGCAAGAAATATGGGAATGATTCAAAGTAATATAGGTTTTATGTCCGCACCATGGTATTCCAGAGCAGATGTTGGGGCAGCGATTTTACATGGGTATGACAGATGGTGTGAAAGCTAATATCGATGCTTCAGCTGGTGGAGCATTCTTGAGCAAAACATGGAGAGAAAGCCAGAGCCTGCTTGACAAAATGGCACGGAATTTGAGGTGGACAACCAGGAATGCACCTATCACTCCAGTAGTTCACTCAGTGCCCTTAGATCCATCCAACACTCTTGCTGAAAATATAGCCACATTAATGACACATATGAGTATACTCACCAAAAAGGTGGAAGAGTCAGGGCAGAAGCAGCAGGTACACATTGTAGATACTACCAATGGGGGCTTATGCACATCTTGCATTAGTCAGCCAATTGGTAACCAATGGAATGCAGAAAGTGATCATCATCATTACCCTGAGGACATGAATTATGTGTCTAACTACGGGGGCCAGAGACAGGGTGGTCAGAATTGGGGCCAACAGAATCAGCCTTACAGGCCAGTCCAGCCACAGCTCAACAATGGAAATATGGGAGGTATGCGACCTCACAATAATATGGCGCCTTACCAAAGGCCACAGGGATACAACAATCAAAATCAGCAGCAGGGTTATCATCCTCCTCGGCAGTAGCATGGTGGGAGACAGGAATATGGGTTTGCTAGACTCGAGGCAATGATGCAGCAGGTTATTGGGTCAAATGCAAAAATGAGTGAAAGGGTAGATGCACATGAGTCAGCTATAAAGAATATTGAAGTGCAGATGGGCCAGATTTCGATGTCTTTGAATAATCGTCCTCATGGGACATTGCCTGCAGACACGCAGGTAAATCCAAAAGATCAGGGCCCGAAGTAGCTGATGGCAGTGAGTCTACGAAATGGCAGAGACTTAGACTTGGAGCAAGAGAGGGCTCGAGAAAGCAGACAGGCTGAGACACTTGTACCAGTGCCCATTGAGCTAGATGATTCAACGAAACTGACAGAGGTGACAGTACAACCTGCCCAGGAAGAACCCAACACACAGATTGAGGATGAGAAAGAAGCTGAGGCACCCCAGGAACCGGTATTTGAGGTGGTGTCTGACAAAGAGAAAACCCAAATCATTGGGAAGAAGAGACCTCCAGCACCATTCCTATAGAGGCTGGCCAAATACCAGAAAGAGGAACAGTACAAGAATTTTTGGAGATGCTGAAACAAATCCAGGTAAATATTCCATTGATTGATGCTTAGAAGGAGATGCCTGGTTATGCAAAAATGATGAAGGACTTGATGTCCCAAAAATTCGATTTCTAAGACTTGGCCACAGTGACTCTAACTCAGACCTGCAGTGCTGTGGTGACTAGACCAGTTGCTGAGATGTTGTCTGACCCAGGGAGTTTCACAATTCCCTACACCATTGGTAACTTTGCTTTTGCCAAGGCACTTTGTGATTTGGGGGCTAGCATAAATCTTATGCCCCTGGCGATCTATAAGAGGTTGGGGATTGGAAGAGCTAGACCCATGTCTATGTTATTTCA